TTTTTCTTTTTTGTTTATTTTTATAGAGTAAGTAAGGGTTACATGTGAATAATCAATATTACAAACTAATAAATGTTAAATGCAATAAAAAGTAAAAAAAAAAGTATGTTCTAAGTTCTACTTCTAAGTATCTATTTATAGCCAATACTACACTTTGGGCAACACAAACTTTAGGCATTGCAGGTACTCTTAATCTAATCTAATCTCAATGATGAACCGATATAGGTATATTTAATTAAGTGCATAATGAATATTTAATGCTGCTAGACAATTATTTGCGAGTGTAATGCTATAATTTATGATAACCTAAGAAACTAACACTCCGAGTCCATTAATGATACGAGAGCACGGAAATTACTACTACGGTGTCCAGATCTAACACAATATTTTAGTATCACGTCACACACATTTCTCTCAGGGACGATAACTATACGTAGTTTGTAGGTACAAGTGTCTACGTTCATTTCGTTGTGCCGCAGTAATTCAGTATATGCGTCGGAATGAAGCTCGCCGAGTTCTTGAGTTTCAGCCGATATGTAAATTTATTTTACATTGGATTCCGCAAATGTTTCTTCAGGACGTTACTTGGAGATTACACCTTAATAAAATGTAATTCTATGCAATTTTGTGTGTTAAGGATTGAATATGGCAAAATTCTTTTTTTTCCAGAGAAAAGTGTTGTAAGAGATACTAGAGAACAAGTGAAAAATACTTAAAATTATGTACGAAGCAACATAATGTGATATAGTGATAGCTAAATAACATTCATATGAAAAGTAGTGTCTTTTCATATGAATGTTGCGCAGTACTTTGATATGGATAAAATAATAGGAAAAATAATGTAATTCCTAAATGTAATATATATATATATATATATCATATAACATATTTTTAATCTTTGATACTTAATTATTGAAAAATGGATAGAAAAATTATAATGATGTAATTTATAATTTTTCTATCCATCTATATATATATATATATATATATATATATATATATATATATATATATATATATGATGTAATTTATAATTTTTCTATCCATCTGCTGGTTTGCAATAATTAAGTATCAAAGATTAAAAATATGTTATATGATGCTATTAATAAAAAAAAAGATATATTAATTGTCCCGACAGATTAATATAACAAATATTAAACAGACAATTCTCATGTTGTTTTAATAGCTACAAATCAAATAATAATAGTCACATTCGGTGTTTACTCTAGTAATATATATTAATATGACACATTGTGGACATAGTTATAATACAATTATACACGACGGCCTCGGTGGATTAGCGATTTAGTACACTGCCTTGGTTGTGATGCCGAGAGTTCGATTCTTTGCATAATGGAAACGTTTGAATTAATGAGTATGATTGTTTATATTACTCTGCGTGTTCTTCATGTTGTATTTATAAAAAAAATATTTATTAATTCTATCAGTATGAATAACTCATAATACAAACTCTTCTTAGATTATGACTAGATGTCGCTGTGTGCATTGTACAGGGTTATTATTACGTCATAATAAAAATAACATATATTATTATAATATACGCGTTTATAAATACTAGAAAAGATTCTAATACAATTTCGGATATTTAGGAACAGCACAATAAGTAAGAACAATAACAGTCGCATAATATACCTAGTTAAAAAAAATAATTTCGAGAACATTGTGAAGATCGTTCAGTTTCTAATTATTCCTTATAAATAAATTCAATTGACATTTGAATTAAAACAAGGGAAAATTTTATAATTCAAAAGACGAAAAGACGTAATTTATATTTAGAAAATTATTAGTTAACATATCAAACGGAAAAGTTTTAACACAATAAATTATATCACTAATTACAATTATAAAAACTTTTTGTTGATGCGGTTTAATCAGAATCGCTGATTAAACTGCATCAACAAAAAGCCTATTGGTCTATGAAAGCAATTCACAGGTACAATGTTGGTGTCTCAGTTATTTTGTGGTTGTAATACTCACAGTTCTAATGCGCTTTGAATCTCTGTCCGTATTTGGGAAACGACTATAATTGGCGAATTGCCAGCGTATGCAAGAAGCATATACGTATTGATTCTGTTTGTTGTCACTAACGTTTGAAACGCATTGTTCGCTAGAAATCTAATATTATTAGAAATATTGTTTTATTAAAAACGAAATTATGCACATATTACTGTATACGTGAAATATTTGCTCCTTAAAAAATGTGATAGAATGTATTCGGTCAGAAAATAATTATGTTTCAATAAAGTATATATATTTCATTGTATTATTATTTATGAAATATTTTGTGGAATATTTTTACTTTTATTGTGTTCTCAATATCTTATTAAATAACCTTTAGGTATATATAGTCCCTACTCGTTACTTATGAGTTGGAGTCTGCTGTAATTCAACTAATTTAAAGCTAGCGATCGACCGAATTCCGTAATTACAAGGTTAAAAAAGAATTCACCATTTCGTAAACGGATTCACTAAAGTAAAGACTGGGCCTTTTAGTGAAATGAGCGAAATAATTAGTTAACAGTTAGTGTTGGAGCTAATAAATCTCGCTGCAACGAGTCATTGCAGACTGCATTTGGCTTGTTGCCAATGTTAGCAAGAAAACTTGCGTATCGATTTGTGCTCGACACGTTTGCCCAACTCACCCAACATTTCCGTAGAATAAACATTTTTTTCTTCCATTTACTTACATATGCTCGTGCTTCGACAATAATTGTAAACAAATAGTGTTCAACTTTACTTTTCTACTAGTGGTGAAAATGTAGGAATACAATATATTCTTTATTTTATTATCCTAATGTTATAAAAATCTATTAACAAGGGAAATCCTTCATCTACGAGGAGTCTCCTGTACCGAGTAATGATGGGATGTAATAATACATAATAATATCTCATGGTCTCTTTCATTCTATAACGTTATATATTCATTATCATTTATACATGTTTGTATTATAATAATAAAAAATGTTTATTGTCAGTTGATACAGCGCTGTAAGAGTTATCATAGATTATTATTATTATTTAAATAGAGACTACCATATAAACACATTATTCAAAGTAGTTTAGTTTGCGTAATCCAAAGGTAGATGTAAATTAAACAGAAATATCCTGTAGATTTTTTTATTATAATAACAGACAAAAACATAAGCAACTATATTATATTTTTGAGATGGTCTGAAATCACAGAAGCCATTCAAAAGTATCTAGAATTTTTATAATGTTTATATTGTGTAATAAAATAAGTTATGTAGTAAATCATATATATATATATATACTGTACTAAGTTGCAACACCGATTTGGATATACTGTAATGGTGTTGTAATATTGAAATCAGTAAATAAATAAAATAAAATCATTTTATAACATGTGATGTTCTAACAGCAACGAACATTATTAGGATTATGTTATCTTATTATACACTCCACAGTGATACATTGCAATAATTACATGAATATGAGAGGCCAAGTTGTATCATAACGAGCATTACACTTCCTAACCGCTACTTATACTACTATTACGGTATAAACGACAAAACTTTACACACAAAGGTAAATTATGTGATACTCCACTATCCCTGTATTAGTACCACTTAATACTAGACATACCCTTTAGAGAATAGTTCAAAAAAATACCAGAACAATAAGTGAAAAAATATTTATTGTCAGTAAGTAAAGAATATTTTTTTAGACAGTAACATTAAAAATCATTGCGAAAAACAAAATGAAATGGGCATTCCTTTCTTCTCCATATGTTATATTATTCCATGTAGTTATAAGCTATTATATATACCTAATATTCATTGCCGGCACAATATCGTAACTTAACTGTAAAATGAAAAACAACTTATCTTGAAAGTTCCGACAGTAAATACTTATTTCACCCGGCCTACTTAGCCTGGATTTTATTTTGATGGATTTCCATCATTAAGTTCTTATCGTTCAATAACTTCTACTACGCTACCTTTTAACTGACAGTAAATCATTTTATCGGCTGGTATTTGCTAAATTTCTTTACATTTTGTCAATAATTGAATGAAGTATAGATTATTTCGTTTTATATATGTATTATAATAGTTCGTTTTATATTTACTCTAAAATAGTGATTATTGAATTACTCAATTAATCATGATTATCATAATCATTTTAGCCCGGAAGACGTCCACTGCTGAAAAAAGTCCACCCCCCACCTAAAATCTCCACGATGATCGGCCCTCACTGTTCGCAACTAACGTTTTCCTATCGGGGGAAGGGGATTGTTAGTAATGAGGACTCATGACTCCATTTCTAGCAATGTACCTTGTCAGATTGACCTCCACACGGTTCCTCCTGGAAACTATCGTGATAAATTCCTGGCGAATTTATCACGATGGGCTAACTGACCTGACCTCTGGCTGGCTCATCTTATCATCCTCCACTGGTGCTCCGCCAACATAAACCGTTAGCGCAGGCGGACGCTCCATTCCATTATCATCCATAAAAAAAACGCTTTCCTATCTTAACTTAACTTCTATTAATCGAATCTTGAATTCAATTCTTCATTTTATGTATTTAATGTTATGTATGCAAATGAAGACATCAGATTATTTATAAGGGGACTGAAACGAGACAACAGTATTTAAGCAATCATAATGTATTCAAAAAGAGACAAACTGTCAGCATATACTTAACTAGAATTTTATTGTATTAACATGGTAAAAATATAATTTACAACTCTTCATTTTCAATTAAATCTGTATATATTGTTTCATTGAATAGTAATCTATGAAATTCTTTATTAAAATAATCCGTTATCATATTCCAAATGCTAATAGAATACCACACAATTATACCTAATGAGAAGACTAAACGAAATAGTAACGCAAGCATTTTATTTGTATTAATTACAATAGTTATTTATTTTATATCGTCTGATATTTGTTTATCTTATTAATTTAATTAAAATATCATTTTTTATTTCTTTTAAAATTAAAAATAAACTACTGTAAAATATGGACCATCATTATTATATTCAATTATTGCAACAGTGTTGTCTAGTAGGTATAAAAAATACTAATACCTTATTCACACGTATGTGAGCTTCTTTCTTTGCATAACTTTAACGTAAACATAGTATTTTGAAAATAACTCTTAATATTTTGTATGTTAGATATAGCTGATGTTACTATAGCAAATAATTATACAAAGAAGGTATATTAGAAATATACAGATTAAGTTAAACCCTGAAAGAAAAGGAATGTTATATAAATACCTAATTACTATTCATACTCGATATGCAAGCCTTCGGGCACATAGAACATTTCTGATATGATTTGAAAAACAGTTTGAACGTGTGGTAATGCCAAGGTTGTTATCATTACTATACTGTTGGCAACGACAAATAACTTCATTGTTTCAAGGCCATCTGCTGATCTGAAATACATTAAATATATATGTTTATATATCACAAATAAATAAGAATGATACTATAGTATAACTTATATTGTAACTTAAAATGTAATATAATTACCTAAATTTACTTATTTGTCAAAATAATATTGCAAGTAGATATTTTTATTTCCTCATTAAATTACTAGCTGAACCCGAGACTTCGTTAAATAAAGAAAAATATTTAATAATCTAATCAAAATAACCACATTTTATTATTTATATTTTTTAAATGAATGTTGTGGTGTGGCATTTCGCAAAATTAATAAAATAGGTATTAATAAATGTTTATAATCCTTTCATTAATATTATAAAAGCGAGTGCGACTCGAAGTAACCTTACTAATATTATAAATGCGAAAGTAACTCTGTCTGTCTGTCTGTCTGTCTGTCTGTCTGTCTCGCTTTCACGCCAAAACTACTGAACCGATTTAAATGAAATTTAGTACGCAGATAGACTTCGTTAAATAAAGAAAAATATTTAATAATCTAATCAAAATAACCCAAAGAAAAAAGTTTCATTGTTCTAGCTTCTAAAATGACGATATTTCCATACAGTCCTTCATCTTCCCCTTTTTATCCCCCACAAACCTTTTTCTTTATTTATATTTAATCAAAAGCCTAAAATATAAGTTTCAAACTTCTAATGATGATACTTCCATACACACCTTAATCTCCCTTTGAAGAAGGGTTGTAAGAGGTTAACCCCTTACCACCCCTTTTTCCCATTAAAAAACCTATGACTTTTCCCAGGGTCTAGGCTATCTGTGTACCAAATTAGTTCAGTAGTTTTGGCGTGAAAGCGAGTCAGACAGACAGAGTTACTTTCGTGTTTATAATATTAGTATAAAGTAAAATCCTTCATGTATTTTATGTTATATAGACCTAGTTTGTTTAGTATATATAAATTATGTACCCAATATTCATTTCTTATTTTCAGATACTTACCGGTACTTTTTGAGAAAACATAATTGCACTCGCGGTTAATTTATAATGCCATACAACTGCATTCCACAGTTTTACAAGATATTATATACGACACTCTCGGTAGTATTATAAGCGTTTACGAAGCAGCGGCTGAATAGGTCTATTGTACGTAAGTGTGAAGATAAATAGAAGGAAATTAATTTCATATGAATCGTATAAAATAGTTATAAATCTATTACCACGTTATCGGCAGATTTTATGGTAGAAAATGCGTAGGAATAGGCAATTGTATTCAACCATTTATCAAAATAGGAATAAGATTTTGATTTCTTGGGAGGTTTTAAGATAATATTTTTTTACTGTAATAATAAATATTTTTTACCTTAGCCAGCCACTAAATCCTTGTTCCTCATCGTCTAATACGTCAAATTTTTCTAATCTGTTGTCACCACTATTCGTTTCTTTTACCTCGATTTTCTCTTGTCTTCTTTTAGTTGATCCGTTGATCTGTTTGTTTTTCTTCATAATCTATTAGAAAAAAGAACTTTTTTATTAGTTATATTTGATCTAGAGTCATAATTTATTGATATGGCTTTTGCGAGTAATGAAAGACTCATTTGTAATTTATTTTCTTCCTTATGTGTGGAAAACCAATAAGTGATTTTTTTTCTTAATTTAACAAAGTGTACAAGATGTAAAAATATAACTATAAGCGATTATATACACAGGAAGTAATGTAATTTCATACAAATACATAGTAGAACACAAAGTACACAAGTAGCTTCTGTAAAATGAGGCATAATATGAAATTACCTTATACTCTAAAACACCATTTACCATTAACGATAATTTCTCAAATTCCAAACGCTTTATCTTCTAAAATGTTTTACTGGTACAATTACGACTGCCTTGTTGATCCCCGCACCAAACAAAACACTAACTCCGCTTCACCACCTGGTTCCCTAATCAAATATTATTTGATTCAATATTACCTGAGACTTGAGGGTGAATGTGGAAGAAACAAGGGGCACGAACGCCTTCTCACCCACTGAACACTAACACGGCTAACGAACCGCATTCAGTGGGAAACCTCTCAAATGCTGATCGATACTTACGTGCTGGTTAATATTGAAGGTGAACGTGGAAAAGCGATTACTAAAAATTATATTTAAAAAAAAACGAAAAAAATAATATCAAAAGCAATTCGCTTTTTGTACGTTTAATATATACGAATATGATAACTTCACTAGCTGTTTCTAGTAAAGTCATGTTGTATCATCATATTTATTCGGAACCAATGTCTTATATAATGATTTCATGGTAGAGTCAGAGACAAGTAGGTATATTTAGATAGAAAATTTGTAAAAAATTAGGAAAGAAAATGCCGCTGAAGTAATCTGCATCGTTTAATCGCATTAATAAATATAATAGATAATGTTAAATATATTTTTGATATTCCCATGAATCAATACGGATTATGAGTACAATTTCGGAAATAAATGCAGCATTAATATTTTGGTTTCTTTTATTTTTTATGATGTTGTAAGATTTCTTTAGAAAATTAGCTAGGCTAAAAACATGTAAATAAATACTAGACCAATATTAATCTAAAACTAATCGGAACTATTTATACCAATAAATCTCTCTCACTGAATTGTAAAATTCCTGCTCATGTTAAAAAATAAAATTATTTTAAATAGTTTATGGCCGTAGTTTCACAAACTCCACACCCTAATAATACTGTCCGTGGTATCGCATGTATGAATTATGTTTCGCGAACGTGTAAGTTTTCAATATTATGCCTATTCAGTTTTCAGAACAGATAGATGAACAATATTGTTTCAATATTTTTCATTATAGCGCTGTTATAAATTTTCAGTAAACAAAAAGTTTGCGCTAAATTCAAAGTTTTCCTTCACGGTAAATAAATTATGGCTATGAAAAACAATAAAGTAAGGAAATTTTAAATTATATTTTATGGGTATTGAAGTTTTCCTATTGTTATTCATTGTTGTGATTTCACCTGCGTGAAACCTGTTGTCTCCTATTACTTTACTGTGGTTTTCTAAAAAGCAATTCATAGTGGTTGTAGGTAGACACTGTATCTATGGAGTCATCTAAGTTTTGCCCAAATTTTAGGTGTTATATAATATTCTATAGAAATGAATTATTTTCACTATGATAGATCGGCTGGAAAAGATCTCTTTCAGAAATAAACCCACACCTTTGCTCACATTCTTTTTGACAAACTATGTATCTTAGCTAATGTAATAATAATTCAAATAGTTGTTTAGATTTTCTGATCATCAAATGAATAGTAACTCTTCTATAATAAACTTACCGTATGTATTATAAGTTAAAATATTTATACATATGTACATAGATTTCTTATTTGAATATAATATTCAAATGAGAAATCTATGTATATAATATTTTAACAGACACACACTATATAATACAGATATAGCTATTATAATTTATATACATTTATTTATGTAAGAATCGAACCCGCAAACGGCAGAGGCAGTACCATAAACCATTACCGTTTTCGTATTTACGTTATACATACATATATCTAATATACCACAACATACGACATCCCATTACTAAGTTAGGCTAAGCGTGACCCGTGACATTTGGGTAATTGTAAGCTGTCTTTGATCGGTTACAACAGGGACAGTTGACAAAATGACAATACGTATATAAATGTATCCAAAATTAATCCTTTGTTTCTGATATATTACTGACCCGTCCATGGCAGGCATCGTGCACTGCAACTCATGATGTTTGCTTTAGAAAATGAGATACAGAATATGTGATTTAGTTTGTATATATGTATACTCGTACCGAAATAGTGGTATATTGTATTGTGGCTTTGCCTGCATGAATTACATACCTGTATTGTTTTTGTTTACATTTACGGTCGTGCTTGCATGTATGCGTGATGACGATGATGATATTCCTAACTAATTAATTAATACAAAATTTGCAAATTTTTATTCACATTCTCTTAAAGTACTTAATTTTTTTACATTCGTAGATATATACACCACTTTTTCTAAAGTACGCAGAGCCTCTTTTATAGATATACCAGTTTGTTCTAGCATCTAATATGATATATCTGAATATTGGTATATGGAAAATACAAAAGTTTATTACTTATAGAATAACATTATGATGCGTAAATAAAGGTTTCTTTAGCGAAATCAGTGTAGATATTACAGTACAATAATTATGTTACTGACAAATATACAAATTACTGATGACCACGGTGGTCTAACGATGTATCAATCCGTAAAAGCTGCAGGTTCGGTTCTCCTAAAATACAAATATTGAATTTATGGGTATGATTATATGTTCTCGGTATGTTCATTATTTAAATAGTAATAGAAAATGTCTATGCAGTGTCAACTACTCATATTACAAATTATGTCCAGTTTGAGATTAAGTTGGACTCCATTTTCCACAATCAGCCTCTCATCTGGGCCATTGTATGTGTAGTAGTATAGGAGTAGATGGCGCTTCGTAATTTTTTTTTTTTATTAATAATGTTGTTGAATTGTTGAAATCTATAATTACTGTATTTAATTTAAATGAATTTGCTAATTAAAAGTTGCTTAGGAGTGCTTAAAATGCATTATTCATTATTTTTAAAAGTAATATTTTTATTTTATATTAAGTATGCTTTGAGTGATATCTTACTGTCGTTTCTACTTTGATATACTTTATTGTCATATTACCTACATATGAGGTACTTCACGTCTGAGCAATATTCATTTCATCTTGACTTTATGCTGAAACACGAGAACGAAACAAATTAAGTAATATAGGATATTATGTTTCCAGAACAACTTGGTTTTATTATATGTTAGTATCTTAATACATGGAAAAATTCAATTAGATATTGTTTTATTATTGTATGTATAACAATGTATACCATATTAGAACTAAATAATGAGAAAAAAACGCAAAGAAAAAAAAAACGTTTAGTTACATCAAATTAAATTGTACTCAGTTACATAATCCTACTAATATTATAAATGTGAAAGTGTGTCCATCTGTTTGTATATATTTTTTTTTTTGTTGATGATAATGATATGGTGCACCTCCCTGCGCTAACAGTTTACGCAGGCGGACACTAGTGGAGAATGATAAAATGATCTTGAACTCAGGAGAAGTTATAACGATAGGTTCCAGGGGTTATCCTCTGGAGGTCGAGCTGATATGGTACAGCTAGCAATGGTGTTATCAGTTCTCAGTACTTATAATTCCCTTCCATCATCTGATTGTATGTTATAATTTCACGTCAAAACGGCTGGAGGAATTAGAATGAAATTTTCACAGAATGTGTTGTTAAATAATGTTCTATATATATATATAGGCTAAAGAAAACCGAGAAAAATATCCCCCAGAGTGAAACATTATTAAATTAGTGTACATTTTCAATAATCTACAGTTTTAATAATTAATTTATAAATCTAATATGACATTCTATAGATGCTTTATTTATTGTGGTAATTTAATAACTATATGGGCATGTACTAATGTACACGTGTTTGAAGTTGCAGGCACAACTAATTATTAATATTAGTAGGTTAGGATTACACGTTAACAAATATTTAAGTTCTATAGTTCTAAATTTACATATAACTACAAAACATAAAACCAAATATTTGCTTAACAAGTTGAATATGCTCGAGGCAAATGGAAAACTTTATGTAATAAAATAATATTGCATGTGTTTGATGGATATTAAAATAAAGATTTTGATTGCCTAAAATAACAATGTTGCAATATAAACGGTAAATGTAATTTTGTTAATTTCATTACAAAATTCAAATTTCAAAACAAAACTACAAATTAAAGCCAATATGGCTTTAATTTGTAGGTTTGTTTCTTTTCAATCCATTTCAATTTTAAGTAACAGTTGTAAGATAGGGATAATGTCATACAGTATTCTGCTCTAACCTGTGCTACTTTCAATGTAAAATAAAAATTAGATCTTATATGTTGGGAGATAATGCCTCAGAGTGTCCGTACACATATTCATCTATATTTGTGCATTAAAGTATTAATAAATAAATAAAAATATATAAACATATTTCCAAATTATATACAGATATCACATTATTATATGACGCCAGTTATACGCCTTATCCGTTGCTTGCATTAGTTTAACTTTTATATCTCACCCTTCAACTGAAACACAGATTACAAAGCAAGCTGCTTTTTATAAATCTATTTCAATAAGTAGATATACACTATTCACGCACTCAGTTTGCTTTTTGTATTATTATTTCAATTTATAATAAAGATTATAATAATAGATAGATATATTGTCAAATAATAAAACACAATTGCTAATATGTGTGTAGAAGTCAAACTTGAAATAAAATACTCACCGGAACACCTTGGTCTCCATCGTAATATTCTCCTCTTATGCTTGGACCCATGTCTTGTAATAGAACATCAACAGATAGTAATTATGGTGATGTTGATAGAACTTATTAGTATAATAATGTTTTTTTTAACCTTAAAAGTGTAATTTAATAATGTTTGTGATTCAAAATTGCTGGGCTATCTTTTTAACATGTAATCATCAATTGTACATCATTAGGAATACAAAAAACTTGACGTTCTTAAGCGACTAAAATATCCTACATGAATAAATGATTTTTATTTTTATTTTAGTAGTTAAAACAACTATACAAACAACTACATATAATAGAATTGTTTCTCTAAAAAGCGATAACCCTTAGTTTTGTAGGGCCTATTGCGAAAGATTTTATCTTTCGCAATAGCGCCTACAAAAAAGGTACAACTACTACACTGAAACTGACATCAAAGTAAATTAAATACCTACGAGCACAAAATCCTCAACAGGTTCACAGCCCGTTATAAAGTCGTATCAACTG